GCTTTTCAATCTAGGTTATACCATTGTGTGGAAGTAAATGGTGGACATTTTGAACAATTTTTATAATAAATTTTGAAAATGAAATATTCGTTTTGTCATTGGAAACGCTTGTGACAAAATCATTAAAATAAAAGTTTTGCACAATTCAATTTTATTTTAATTTAAAATTCTGTAGATCGTAAACTAATTACTTTAATCCCCATGTTTTATACATTTTTGAAATCAGTTAAACGAGAGCAATCCAAAAATGGATAAAAAAATGGGGCAAGCCATTTAAAAAAATTGAAGGGATGATAGTAGGGGTGAAAGGGTGACTTTTTTAGCAAACTTAAATATGGCACGATATCTTCCCCTTCGAATATTAATTGACGTATTTTTTTGTTTTTTGTAATAATCAGTCCTTCAAAAGTTACTTAAGGTGGATACTTTTATCTGAAAAGCACTGTATGCTGGACACCTGTTATCCCTATGTCTGTATCCACAATATATACAGTTCTTACTCGATGTCTTCACAGCACTTATTCCAGCTGGCTGGCTTTTACTTTCTTCAACGGTTCGACAGAATGTTACGGCCTTATCTAGAGTTAAGGTAGGTTCTCTTAGCAATCTTTCCTGTGTATTTTCCTCCTCGTACACTCCCATCACAATGCGGTCTCTGATCATTCTTTCTGGCTGACATCTTCTGTAGAACCATTTTTAAAGCTGTCCTTTTGAATTATGCTATTAAATTCGCTCAAAAATTACGTTTTTCTTAGGCGCACAGTATGGTTGGGGGAAAATATATCGAATTACAAAATATCGATGAACAAAATATCGAAAGTACATAATGTTGAAAAAACTACAAAACATCGATATTACAAAATATCGAAATCACCAAATCTCGAAAATACATAATATCGAAACTACATTTAAAGGATAACACATAATATCGACACTCTATAATATCGAAAATACGAAATGCAGCATAACTAATTATCGAAACAACAAAATGTCGAAAGTACAAAACGTCGAAATTACAAAATTTCGTTTATTGTCAACAACAACCACGATACAACATAAACATCGGAAACACAAAATATCAGTACATAAATACCAAAAAGATGGAGTACACTACACTAGATAACATCGAGATGAAAAAAAGTGCTTAAATATCAAATAACAAATTATTCAATTAATGTCGTTACAGAGTAAGGGTAATAGCTTTCAAATAATCTAACAAGTATGTATCTGTACATTTATCTCGAGCAAATGATTGAACCACAGTAGCAAGTCTTTTATTTTTGTCGTTATATTTTTTCTTCTTGAGTGATTTTTCGCAGCCAGTTAACTGTTGGTTAATTTGAAGTTCTTGCATACTTTGTTGATACAGTTTTAAAAGTTCCGTCAATATACCATTTAGTACTTCGTTCTAAAAAATTTAGATTTTGTTTTGTTCCCATAATAATTACTCTCTGTTTGTCATTACTGTCATATAATATAAATTCCTCGTTTTTCCCAGTTTTTCGGTATTTTTGGGGGATAACTAAATCTTCCAGATCCTTTGGGATTGAGTAGTGGGAATACTTTTTTTTTCGAATGTGACTGATAGTTCTCCTGATACTACTTATCGACGGACACGAAGTACTAGCCTCGCCACTTACATCTGACATTACACTTGAGACAATAACTTGAGGAGCATCATTGCTGGCTAGTGCTTTTTCCTTTATTTGACTCATTTTTTTCTTGACCTCAACTTTAACAGGATTTCCTTCGTGATTGTGATCAGCGGTCCGTGAAAAGGTGTTTGAAACTAGTGTACCTCTGCCTCTGCAAAAGCTAGTCCAATTCTGGCATTTCCAATATATTTTTGTACTCACAGATTTTTCTTTGGTATAGTAATATCCATTGGAATATAATATTTTTCCGCCTTTATTGCTCTCTAAGTATTCAAAATCGCAGTCTTTTTCCATTTTTAACCTCTTTGTGCACAACACACCCACTTTTTGATTATTTCCAAATGTCAGTCAAACAAATCAAACAAACAGAAATTTTGTTTAATGATTGTTGTTGACAACAAACGAAATTTTGTTATGTAGGCACAGAATGGTATTCTTTGATGTAGGTACTAGTTTGCACTTTCGATATTTTGTAATTTCGGTAATTTGTTATTTTGCATTAAGTACATTATATTTAATTCATTAAAGAGAGTTATTTATTACTAGGCGTTACAGGAAAATTGATGTTTTTGGCTTTGAAACAGATTTTTCGATATATTTACATAATCTAAATTATGTAATGTCGATATTTTATTTATTCGGCATTATGCTGTGTCGTTATTTTGTACATCGATATTAAGTAGTTTCGATAAATTGTAGTTTCGATGTTATATTATCTCGACATTTCTTGTTTTCGATATTATGTACTGGCGATATTACTTGTTGCCGATTTTTTGTGTTTTCGATATTTTGTGATGTCTATATTTCGTTTTCGAAAATGTGTCGTTTCGATATTTTGTAATTCTATATATTTTCCCCCAACCGCACAGTATAGCTCCAATTTATTCAACACGGCTTGGAGTATTTTTCCACTAGCCGGTAGATCGAACTTCATCTCCTACTAAATTAAGTAGTACTGCTATCTTTTTTCCTCTGGTTTGCTGTTCAGGTGTAGCCGTCATGAAAACTTCAAATTTTTGTTGAAACCTACGCCAATATTCGGCCATATTGCCATCCAAAGCTAGGGGATCTGGCGGTCAAAAATAGTTTTCCATTATCTCGCTTTGTAGTACTACTAGGTAATTTATTCACACCTGACACCATGTAAAAGGTATAATAATAATAATATTAATACTCTCCCTACTTCACCCCCTTACGAGTAAATTTTAACCCCAAAAGCTGAGCTTGTGCGGGGAAAGGGACGGTTATTATTATTATTTGCCGTGGAGCAGCAAGCTTTTAAATAAGGCACTAGTGTGCATTTTAAGTATTTATTAAAATACGTTAACTACAAATTCTAGATGAAACATGAACAACATACAACCTGGATCGAACTACTGACAGCTGACTGTCCACTATGGCAAATGTTACGTTGCCGTACTTATAACCATATTATACATTGTTTTGTATCTTAGGCCAAAAAAATACCATACGAAATTTTTGATATTTTGGTGACATTTAGTCAGTCCCATATAATCAAGTTTTTGATTATATTGTATGGAATAAAAAATATATGAATATGTTTTCACTAGTAATACCACTAGAGGTCAAAAAATTTCCTGATATTAATTTGACCTCGCGTGGTATTCGGTAAGAAAATTCCACGCCGAATTATGGTTGAAAATTAAATATTTTTAAAATTTATTTTTCGTTTCTCAACAATGCAAATTATTTTCTCCAAGTCACCAGTGAAACATAAAAGGTGTTGTCGCCTTGATTTTTGAGTTGTCATGGTAACTAAGTGAGACCCTAACCTCGAATATAATTTCAGTTTTGAAGTTGTCAAGCGGCCCGACGTAAAAAAATGTTTCGCTGCAATTATTTAGGCCTTCAAATTGCTTATTTCTACTCATTGTAGTTGCATGGGAATACCATTTGAAAATAGAAAATAGTATATTCTTTAATTTTACGTAAGTTTTGAATAACTACAAGTGGTAGAAAATTGTTTTTCTGCGTTTTTATTAACATGCGTTATGAGCGCTTTAAAATGGTATGAAATTCATAACCAGCGTCAGCAAGCATCAATCGTAGGAGGCTGTGATCATTGTATTTTGACGGTTCAAAACATTAAATAACTCGCGTTTTGTTGCGATAAAGAATATTGCACAGCAAGTAAAACCAACAAAATTACCTATTTGTTTAAAAATGAATCGATTTGAAAATCATACGCTATGCAAAATATGCGTGAAATTGTCTGATGTAATGATCAATCATTGCACCATGACTTACTTACTCGGATTAATAGAGGATTGTGGCTCCAACTTGAAAAACGAAAATTTGTTCCGAATTGTCCACGAATATTTGCACCTAAACTACGCAAAATTCAAAGTGCTGAATGGGAAAAAGGTGAATAAATTAGTGTCTAAATATTATATATATTTTATTAGACATAGACACATAATTCAAAGCATCCAAAGTCCTGCATTTTCGCCATTAAGAAGAAAAGAAGTGGCCGAAGAATATAGAAAACACCTTAGCATTGTAACTAAAATGTATCAAAACTAAACCTATTATGTGAACAAATAAAAACCAGTCTGTCAAAAATGGTCTGTTATTGTAAACGTCAAAAAATTTCCAGTATAATTCGCTGTTGGGTACCCCACGAGAAAAAAATTTCCACTAAAATACCTCCGTTGCCATGGTGATCTGTCAAAAACACGTATTTTGATTGGTTCAAAATTACAGGTGTGGAATTTTCATAAAAATTTTCTTGTAGAGATTTTAGATGAAAAATAAAAAAAAAAGGTCAAACATAAAACAAGCTTTCGCTTGCTTAAAAAATATAAATTGGTGACTGAATTAATCTGCTATTTTATTAGTAATTATTTCTGTTTAAACAATAACAAGGTATTCTTTTGCAAAAGCTTTATGAATCAAAAGGTCACAAATCTTTTTACTTTTTAGTGCATTCGAATATTAGTTCAACGTCGAAAAGTTTACTCTTAAAAACTCGTTTTGAATTTTAACCAAAAACCAAAAATTCAGGGGACCTAATCATATTTGTTTAAGTAGTGTAGGTATATAAATTTTTATTAAGCATTATATAATTTGATTCTGTATGCGCCATGAATACAAATCCGAGTTGCCCAATGTATAAACTGGAACACTAAGATCAAAAGTGCCGATGCAGAGTAAACGAACTGATTCTTTAGCTATAAACTGTGCTTCGGTTAGCTTCGCGAAAAAACTTCCAAATACTGTGTATGAAGTGGGAGAACTGCGAAAAGCCTATCCGATTTCTATGCCTGCTCTACTTATTGTTTAAATCTACAAAGCAAGCTCATAAGTATAATTTAATTTTTGCAGAGTTCAATGGAAACCGACCGTTGCATCGGTTCCCCCGTCCCAGATCGTCCCTCCAGCACCCAGAGCAGCAGATCCTCCACCCCTTTCGCTCTACCGTTCCCCACTTTACCGACGTCGCTCCTGGAAGTCGGGTTGATGCACAGCGCCCTCCTGGGCGACGAAATGTTTCGCTGTTCTTCGTGTATGGCCGCCTTTCCTTCGCTGTGGCTGCTGGAGCAGCACACCGCTTTGCAGCACATCGGATCCATTAGCTCCTTGGAGAAGCCCTTCGTATGCGAGCAATGCGGACAAAGTTATAGGTTTGTATTTACAAGTCAAAAATTAACCTCATCTCAAAAAAAAGTAAGATAATGACACTAAATCAGTCCTAGATAAAATATTTTAATAATGTATGACCCTTTATTTGTATTTCCTTGTTTTATTTTTTCACGCAAAAATCCTAGATACTAACTTCCCTCCAGATCAGCTGTACTCAACCTTTTTTTCTTTCGGGCCACATAAATCTGTTTGCTAGGCTACACGGGCCACAATATGTTCTAAAAAAAGGCCCTCATGTTGTTTTAGTTGTGTTAATAAGCTTTGAAAAGTCGCAAAGACAGGACTATAATAGGTCGACCGTTTCAATTACTAATAATCGTGTTTGGGCTGCACCACAAAAAAGCTTGGAGGGCCGCAGAAAAAGCTTGGAGGGCCGTACAAAAACAGCTTGGAGAGCCGCAGGTTAAGTATGGCTGGTCTAGAAGGTGACACCAACAAAATGTATATCCTGTTCTACTATTTACAGGTGTAAACAGTGTGCAAGTGATTTGAATTTATTTAGTTTTATGTCTGTACAATTTGTTATTTTTTATATACAGTAATTTCGCTCAATTATTTTAAATTAATTTGAATATTTATTTATTAAAACAATATATTTTAAATTAAAGGTATACAGTGAGATGTGAATTATAAATGTTATATTGCACGGGAGTTTTTTTTTTAATGAATACATCTTTGAGTTAAGAATAATTAGCTCTTTAATCTGTTAAAGTAATATACAGGGTGTTAGTAAATAAGTGCGACAAACTTCAGGGGGTGATTCAGCATGAAAAAATAATGACAGTTTGCTATATAAACGTATGTCTGAAAATGCTTCGTTTTCGGAATACGGGGTGTTAAAGTTTTTCTTAAAAACTGACGATTTGTTTATTGCTCTGAAATCGGTCAAGATATGCAAATGAAATTTGGTGGATTTCAAGAGGTAGTTATTCCGCATTTTTTAACATGCAATTAAGAATTTTATGTTCATCATTGGCGTGCATACAGGTAATGATCTCAATTGATTTAAAGAAAAAAATGGTACGACACTGAAATATTTCAAATTAAAAATCATTTTTGAATTCTTCATTAAATTTGTCACAAAAAATATCTATGGCCTTTTTTTCGTGTGGGGCGCCGTTTTTATGCAAAAAAATAAATTATCTTAACGCGTATTTTCCATTTCTTTAATACATTATCAAGAACTATCTTATTAGATATTGTTATTGTATTCAATAACATTAAACTAGAACTGTTGATTCGATGAAAACCGAATCTATTTTTCGAATTTTGGGGATTTTGATCCCTTTTAAATTAAACACTAGAAATTACTTTGAACTATAGATTTATTAAAAATAATAAAGTGGTGCAGACTGGCACCGGGATTTCGCTTTCGTCGCGTTCGAGATAAGTTTCTCGACTCTTTTCTTGGTCGCACTTCGCACCCCATATCGTCACATCCCTCAAGGTACTCGCGGAGTTGGAACTTGATAGTCAATGTGAGAGATGGCGCAGCATGTATTAAAATTAAAATTAATTCGGTGCAAACAAGAACAATAACAGAAAATAACACTAATAAAATTTTAAATAGGTGCAAAGCTACAAAAAATGCTGAAAATGACCTCCCTCAGACGTGAGACAAGATTCAACTCTTCGCCGCATTGATTGTCGTATTCGCGCAAATTGTCCTGGTGTATTTCTTATTGTCTCACAGCGGGCTATAATTCGGTTCCTCAGGTCTCCGACATTTTCGACGGGAGTGGAATAAACTAGTGACTTAAGAAAACCCCAAATGCAAAAATCCAGAGGATTTAAATCCGACGATCGAGCATGTTCCGTACCTCCCCTACCTATCTAACGATTTGCATATACTGCATCTAAGTGATTTCGTACATCAATGCTAAAATGGGCTGGTGCACCATCATGCATGAACCATAAGTGTTGTCTCAGCTGTAGAGGAATTTCTTCAAGAAGAACAGGTAACTTTTCCTGTAGGAAATTAAGGTAAGAGTCGCCTGATAGTCGTTGTGGGAGGAAATATGGACCGATTAAATGATCATCAATCCATACATTTACCGAAAACTGATGCTGAAAATGAGCTTCAAAGATTCCATGTGGATTTTCCTCAGCCCATAAGTGATTGTAATCGAAATTTCGTATAGACTCTCGACCAAAATTAGCTTTGTCAGTAAACAAAACTCTATTTAAAAAATTAGGAATTTGAGCGATTTGATGAAGAATCCATTGGAAAAAAAATAGGCGCGGAAGAAAGTCTCTAGGTAGTAGAGCTTGCACACGTTGAATATGAAACGGATACAACTGCTGTTCTTTAAGAATTCTAAATACAGTGAAGTTGCTTACATTTAATATGTTGGCAATTTTTCGAGTACTTGTTTCCGGTGACTCCGCAATTAACTCGAGAACTGCTTCTTCTAGTTGCACAGTTCGTACTTCTCGAGGGCGCCCGCAGTCAGCCGTTTGTTTCTTAAATGTACCATTTTCGCGCAAACGTTGGTGAAGGCGAACAAATATTGTGTGATGGGGTACCCTACGTCCTGGATACAACTCAGCATACAATGGTCGAGCTTGCCGACCATTTCCATTACTTCGACCATAGACGAAATGCATGTCTGACAATTCCACGTTTGTATAATTTTCCATTGTTTTCGATAAAAGAAAAGTTAATTACTTATTAACATCAATGTTATACCAAACTAAAAGCTTAATAATGAAGAAACGCTAATTTGACATTTCGTTAAACTATTCGTATTTAACAGAATGTTGCAATAGCCTACTAGTACTAGCATCGCTATTAGATAATAATGTATTAAAGAAATGGAAAATACGCGTTGATATTTTATTTTTTTGCATAAAAACGGCACCCCACACGAAAAAAAGACCAGAGATATTTTTTGTGACAAATTTAATGAGGAATTCAAAAATGATTTTTAATTTAAAATATCTCAATGGCGTACCATTTTTTTCTTTAAATGAATTGAGATCATTACCTGTATGCACGCCAATGATGAACATAAAATTCTTAATTGCATGTTAAAAAATGCGGAATAACTACCTCTTAAAATCCACCAAATTTCATTTGCATATCTTGACCGGTTTCAGAGCAATAAACAAATCGTCAGTTTTTAAGAAAATCTTTAACACCCCGTATTCGGAAAACGAAGCACTTTCAGACATACGTTTATATAGCAAATTGTCATTATTTTTTCATGCAGAACCACCCCCTGAAGTTTGTAGCACTTATTTACTAACACCCTGTATATTCTTTCGAACTAGAAAATCATTTTTCTTGCTTTTGCGCGTGGCTGTGATTTGTCGCGCACTTTGATACGCTTTATAAAAGAAGATTTTCTAAAATGTTTGCCAATGTCTATAGACGAGAAAAAAATGAATGTGACACGAGATCAAGCTGATTTCATTGTGGCACAACGAAAGACGAAAACGTGTCACTACTTCAAAATTTAAAGATATTTTTAAAAAAAAAAACGAAACGTCTTCTTTAAAAAATCTCATAAAATCTTTTATTTTTTGCTAAAGCCACCCAATATGGCATGGACAATAAATCCAGAGCAAAATAAGATTTGGAAATTTATTTACAAGAAAAAGTTTTTAAATGTGGACTTTTATTGATTCCGAATTTGATTATGTTGCTGTCAGTCCCGATGGAGTTTAAAACAAAAAACAAAACTATGATAGAGTTAAAATGTTTATATGAAGCTAGAGTGATGATTGCAGGAGAAGGAATATGCAGTAGAAAAATAACTTTTTGGGAAAAGGACAATACCATTAAAGAGAACCACAATTGGTATTTTCAAATTCAGGGCTAGCTGCACATTACACAAATGGAGTTTTGTATTTTGTTCGTTTGGACTCCTCGAGGAACAAAAGTGGAGAACATTCCTCATAATGACAGTTTTTGAAAAGAAAAACTGCAAAGGAAAATTCAAAATTTTTATATGCAATATGCCATACCAGAACTAGTTTACAGCAGAGCTATTAGGGACATGGAAGTATGGAATAGAATACCAAATAAATGATGAGAAATTTTGTTTAATTTTTTATAACATAACGCAAAAAATCTTAAATTATATGAAATATGTTTATTAATTTAAGACTTACAGTTTATTTATTTCTAAAAAATGGTCAGCGATCCATTTAAAATATGATTAATGTCTTATTATTAAAATAAGTTTTTTAAATTTTATTTTACCAGTCACAGTGGCAATTGATGATATATAATTATTATATCAAACATTTTGACAGTGGATCACGTTTTTAAGTTCACAAATAATAATAATATCTAGATTCTGATTCGAATTAGTAGTTTTACTATAAAGGCCAAACAATACATTGATATTGTAAAACGCAGATGAGTAATTATTACATCAATAGAAATTGAAAATTCCCATATGAATCTTTGTAACGTAATTATTTATAACTTTAATAACTTCATACGGTCAAAAAATCTAGCTAACTTATTTAATTTTAAATAAAAATTGAATTTCATTTTAAAAGTTCATTATATTGTTGTTGCAACTTTACTGCGCTTGAGTACCGTTCAGATTAAAATATGAATTGATTTATGGAGCTTAACTGAAAAACAGGAACTAATGCTTCTTTTTCAAAGAAAAAGCATTACGGTCAATAAAAGAAATTTCGAACTGTGATATCTTCAAGCCCTTATATACAACCTTTAAATATTAAAATTATCATTATACAAGCGTTATCTTTACAAATTGTTACATATACCTAACATAATTTTGTTGATATCATAAACATTATTTTCATAATACAAATAAATATATCTCTGTTAAAAAATGGTCATTTTTGATTTAATATAGTCATTTAAACATGTTTTTAGTTTTTGTCTAGATGATATTGAATACTAACTTTTTCTATACAACCCGACATTGTGGCAAAAAAAAATTATTACCTATCACTTTTTGTCAAAAACAATTGACGAAAAAAATAGGTTATATAAAGC